GGGGCTTTAGACTCATGACAAAGGACAGAAGCGATCTTTGGTCACATAAGCAAATCCTCATAAGCCTGTGCCTAACCACAACGGTTCTGCTCATGGATCCTGGCCAGCCTAATCTTGGTGGGATCTGCCTCACGTTCTTGGCTGGCTCTCCTGTCTCTGGACGCTCAGTGACAGAGCCATTGAAAGCATCTTCACCCCCTTTAAAGGCTTTACTGTAGCTGGGTGCGGTGGCACAGCCTGTGATCCCAGAGACTTGGGAGGCTGAGCAGGAGGACCTCAGGTCCCAGGCCAGCCTGGGCAATTTAGCGAGACTCTCAGCAACTTTGCGAGGCCTTGTCCCAAAATAAAAAAACAAAGGCAGAGGATGTAGCCCAGTGGCAAAGTGCCCCTAAGTTCCATACCCAGTACCCAATTTCTTGCAGAATTTTAATTACCCAGTTACTTTCAGCCTTCACACTGCCCTCTGGTGGTGGGGTTGCACTGTAGTTTTTTTGAAGACGCCCAGGGTACCCACTACTTGGAACTGAGTTCTGTGCCTGCCTGAGAGAGAAGGAAAACCTCTTCTATGCCTGCTTCTCTGTGCCTTCTCCAAACAGCTCAGATCCAGGCCTGGAGGGTGCAGGGTAAACTGCTGGGAAGAGCTGGAAGCTGGGATGGTGTTGATATTAGGCATTGGCTCTGAATAGAAACTGAATCAAGATCAGGTATAGAAACACCACATCTGACCTGTGGGTTATCTGGGAAAATGTAGTAAATCAGTATGTGAGGGGCTTGCCTCCCACCACACACTTGCTGTGCTGGTTGGGGCCAATCTTCTGCCTTCTTAGGAGGAGGCGATTCAGCTCCCACAGGGTGTTAGTATGTATTGGAGGACCTCCAGTTCTCTCTGCTGCTAAGTACAAAGATATGCCCGTTAACCTCGTTGCACACCTTTTGCTGGCTTCCAGAACCCCCACTTGAGGGCAGAAAGACCAGGCTTTAATAGCCCCCCACCAGGGCTGTCCCTATGCCAATATATCTTAATTCTGATCTTTTCCAGTGGGGTACCATGCTCCCAAAGAAGTCCTGTGCTGGAGGACTTCACTGGTAGTGTTCTTTTTACAGATGGCTCCAGAGATGCAAGATGCAGAGGTGCACTTGAGAGCAGAGAGAGGTGGACAAGACCATGGCTACTTGGATTCCATCGCTTTGCCTGTCACTCCAGTGAAGTAAATGTTAAAACCATCAGTGTCTATGCTTTTTCTTTTCTTTTCTTTTTTAGGCACAATTACAGAAGGGAGAGCTGGGACTCCTGCAGCTCACACACCCAATTTCGGGAGGAGAGGAATTATATGGGATAGAGTGGGAGGAGAGAGAAGCAGTCAGGGTCCTTGGGGCCCAGAAAGGGAAAAAGAGAGTCCAGGACTCACGGGGCTCACCAGCTACAGACTCCCATAACCACCCTGGACATGAGCTTGCTCTGCAGGGCCTGAACTTGGAGCACATCTGAGAAACAGAGTCAGCTCAGATGCTGCTGGCCAAGGAGGTCTGCCCCTCCCCCAGCTCAGCTGCACTCGGTCAGCAGACAGTGACTTTCTGGCTCCTAAGTGCATTTTTCAAGGTGGGATTTCTGATATCAGCTGGAGGGGTACATTTTGCATATAATTCCTCCAGTTACACCCAATAAGAAAGTGTTCTCAGCCTTGGCCCTCACCTGCAGGGAGCCATTTTACAGTCATTTAAAGACTCCTGCGTCTCGGGAGGAGGCAGTCCTGAGTTGAGGTGGGCTCTCCCAGGTGCTGGCTTGCAGTAGGGAGGACAGGAGTGGAAGGCAGCTGGAGCAGGAGGAGAGAGCCCCCCCCCCCCCCCCCCCCCAAGGGCTGCAGCCAGGCCCTGGGGAGGGACAGTTGGCATTGTCTGCAGGGAGGTCACCAACACTGGATTCATAAAGAGTTTTAATGTGTAGAAGACGGGTGCCAGCAGGGGTGAGGCCTGAGCAGGGAGACGCAGAGGGAGGGCCTGAGCCTGTAGCTCAGGGGAGCTAAGCAGAATAAGAAAGCTAGCAAGGGAGGAAAAGCCTGGAAACCAGGAGTGGGGCAGCAACCAAAGGAAGCCAATGGGAGAGAAGGTCCCAGGGATGGGCTCTTGGTTGTCATGGCAACTGAACTACTAGTGTTGAAACTTCCAACCCAGAAGAAATAAATGGCTCTTTAGTTCCCCCCACCCACCCCGTCACCAGGTATAGAGCAGCCCAGGGCCAGAAGTCGATGACAGATAGCTAGATAGACCTGGATCAGCTGACCAAGGCCAGAATAGAAGGCAGGGTCACAAATGAATATTTGTTAGTCAGCTCTTTGCAGCTTTGTCCAAAATACCTGATAACAATAACTTAAAGGAGGAAAATGTATTTTGGCCGGCAGGTCTTTTGCCTAAAAGCCCCATCTCTGAACCTTGCTGTTTGGGGGATCATGATTTCAACCCAAGCATTTCAGGAACAATCTGGATGCAAACCATTACAGGACACAGGATCTTTTAACCCCCGGCAGGCTGGTGCACTGGTGCCCTGGTCCGGAGTGGGACCTTTGGTTGAAACGCACTTGGATTACACTAGGAAGGCAAATCTTTGGTGTGCCTCTCAGGCGACTTGGAATCTGAAGCCTAAATTGATGGAATCTTCTCCAGGATGTACATTCACCCTCTGAGCCCTCTGAGGCAGCATTCAGAGGGCCAGTCTTTGTGGTCAAATTTGCCATCTTCCCATATAATGAAGGGAATTCTGTTATATTACATGCTTTTCTGAGTCAGTGCTCCAATTGCCCCTGCTCCTTCCTGGATCTGTGCCATGGTCACACTATTGTGGACACACTGGGAGTTAGGATCCAAGGGGACTTCCATACACTTTCTGCTTGTTGGTCTGTGACCTCAGCTACCCCGTGGAAACACCAACCCACTCCTCTCATGCCTCACTGGGAGGCCAGGAGCACTGTGGCAGGTTCTGCCTCGCTATGGGGTGGGGGTGAGGGTCCGAGGTCATCATCTCCATCCACACTAAATAAGGAAGGGAAGTCAGAGGCACACATGGGGACAACTTAGTTAATTCCACTACTTTCCTACTATTGTCTTGAGAAAAGTGTTGAGCAAAGTTTATGTCCCTTGAGTCTTGGTGAATAGACAGCAAGTAGCATTATTAAAATGCTAAAGCTTCTTTAGGTTTAAAATGTTGACCATCAAATTACAATTGCATTAAGTTATATTTAAGTCTCATAATGAAGGTATAAGAAGAGTAGTAATTTGGGGGTCATTCCCCCACAAATGATGAACAGGAAGGACTGAGAAAAGATAGCACATGGAGAATACATGTTCTTAAAAGTGAACCTAGAAAAAAACCGGCATCAGTAAGGTTTAATGAAGCAGAATAAAAGGAACTATATGTGTACTGAAAGGGCTTAGGGTACCCAAGCAAGACAAATGGAAAGAACATTACATTAAAACCTAGTCTGGCAAAAAGAACGAATATAGAACTAACGATAGGGACATTCAGGGAAATCTCATTAGCATCCACATACTAACAGAGGAAAAGGATTGTGGGTAAGGAGTGCTGGACCGTGTGGCCAGGGACAGGCCTGCCTTGGTCCACCCTTGGATAGAATTAAGCTCATTCTCCTGATCCAGTGTGGCTGCCAGTAGGCTGGTCTGAGAGGCCAGTCAAGTGTGCCCTGGCTATCATGTGTAATGCACGGCATTATAAGAGTTAGAAGGTACAATAATAATACGGCTATTAATGTTCTAGATTTTCAAGATCTTTATTTTTTTTTTGTGGTTATAGAAATAATAGAGTCATCACAAAAATTTCAACTGTACCAACACAGAAAGCAAATGTATAACACAGAAAGCAAATGTCCCTGTAATCCTACCCTAGAATAACTAATTGATTCTTTCAGATACATTTTTGGCCACAGGCCTAGATAGTCCCATAAACCAGACTCATTATTACCAGCATAATCTTAACTCAAAACTTGTTGGTGGCTTCCCATTCTCTGTTGCTACAATGGAATGCCCCAGACAGAGCAATCTATAAAGAATAAAGGTTTATTCAGTTCATGGGCATTGAAAATTCAAGATAAGATCAGGGGCCTAATCTGGTAAGTTCAAAGGCAATTCAATATTGACATGGCAAGACAGAGGGTCCTAGCTCAGGTCTCTCCCCTTCTTCTTATAAAGCCACAGTCCCACTGGGCGAGGACCCCACCTTTATGGCCCCAGTTAACCTTAATTACCTCCTAAAGGTCATACTTCTACACATCATAATTGGATTAAGTGTTCACCTCACAATGGAGACTGAATTTCAACATGAGTTTTCTTGGGGACATTCAAACCACAGCAATACCTAGGAACCCACATATATTTTCAAAAAAAAAATTCATTCTGAAGATATATCGGTTTATTTTATAATATTGATGGGGTTTGTGTTCTTCCATAACTTTTTGCTATTACGCTGAGCATCCCTGATTCCCATGGTACTTCCAATCAGCATGGAAAAGATGGTTCATACCACAGATGTCACTGCAGAATCAGTGCCTTAAACTCTGAATGAATCCAGCCAAGGGTCAGGCCAGTCTCCCAGGCGAGACAGGAGAGATGGAAAGTTCACACCTAATATGAAGCTCACGAGTGGGACCTGAGCCTGGAGGACGTGGATGAGCTAGTAGAGAAGGTCAAGGAGGAGAGGGTGGTACAGCCATCACAGGCCTGCCATGCTGCCTGGAGGGGTTTTGCAAAGAAAAGCACAGCTCAAACCCCGACTCCACCCCAGTGCTACAGATAACCAGCACTTACCACTGAGCCATACTTGGTGATCAGTGAAGGACGGTCACCCATGAGCCAGATCTTTTTTAAAACACATGGACATCACCAGCTTTTGTCCTCCCAATTTTCATTTTTTTAAATATATTTATTTTTTTGTTGTAGTTGGAACAATACCTTTATTTTATTTACTTATTTTTATGTGGCGATGAGGTTCAAACCCAGGGCCTTACACATGCTAGCGAACGCTCTACTGCTGAGCCACAACCCCAGCCCCCAGTTTTCATTTTGAAGAGTCATTTTCTTCCCCACCCAAATTAACTATGAAAGCAGTGGCAGTGTGCTGGCAGCAGGGTGCTAGGGCAGTTGTCGTGAAGTCACCCTGCCCAAGTGAGGGGCGGCTTCGAGCTGGGACACTCAGAGGCTCAGAGTTAACAAGGCGACCAGAAATGTGGTAGGAACACCTGCCATTTACTCCTCTTTTGAGTCCTGCAAGAGAGAAGGGCTCAATGAATGAGATTATTATGGAAGCTAATACTGACCTTCCTCCTTCCTAGGAATCTCTGCGCCTGGACGTCACACTAGATCTCAAACCCAAGGCAAGCAGAAGCTCCCTCCCACATCAGTTCCTGTGGGCTGTACTTAGTGATAAAATCATTTCCCCTGTTACTTAAATCCAAGTTCCTCTCTCCCAGCTCTTCCTTTCCATTTCCGTTCTTCCTCTCTAGATAAAATCCTTATGATTTCATCCCCATAATAATTTTTTTGAGTATTATTGGAATCTTTGTGCTGGGTCCTGGGGTCACAGAGACTGGTACCTCTGCAGTTGTTGTGAGGACAGGAACAGTATGCCCTAGAAGTGCAGAGGAGAGATTAGCCACTGAGCCATAGGGTGGCTCAGTGACAGGGTGGCCTGGAAACACTTCCCGGAGGGTCCAGGTGAGCTGGTGTTTACTGGGCAGAGGACACAGGCAGGCTGTTCAGCATCAGCCTTCAGCTACCCTCTTTCCAATCCACCCAAACTGCCAGACGAAGCTTCTTAGAGCCCTTACCCCTCCCCTGCATTTAAACCCTCACGATACTTTGCTGGCCTTGAAGGTCTTCCTCATCAGCACCCATCCTAACTTTGTCACCTGTAGCTTTTTTCTGTGAGCCCTCAGCTCTTCCTAAATCATGCTGCTGAATCCTAGTGAAATTCTACTCACCCTCCCAAGGTTAAACCCGTCACCTGCCGTCTCTGGTCACTGTAATACTTCCAGCAGCTGACTTAGGGTCTTTCCTTGGCAGCGCACACTCCACTTCCAGTTTTTTGCATTTCTCCCTTTTCCTTTAATGGCAAATTCTTGGGGTGTGAACCACGCTCCCTCTTCATTCTGGATGCACTTCTCGGAGGAGCCTGGGAAGAAGACGCAGCCCATTCTGAGATCCACCTTGACCCTCTGAGAATTCATCCCAGCCTCTGAGCTCCCAATGGTGTTGCTTCACCTTCCTGGGTCCAGAGGGATTCCTGTGATGTGGAAACCTTTGGAAATCCCTTCACAGGAAGCGTGTCTGTCTCTGCAGCCTGGCCAGCAGGGTCCGTGTCCTGAACTGGACATGGTTTGCCCAGGCACTTCTCTTCCCTTCTATCACCGCGGGATCCACAGAACAGAATAACCAAGGAACTCACCTCGCTTCATTTTCTCCTTATATAAAATCCCTTTTGCTGTACCACAGGTCACAGGAAGTTCAGGAGACAGAAAATCCATGAGGTCATCTTTAGGTTTTTCTGAAAGGAGAAGAGAACATTTTGGGGTTAGTTTTCCTTCACATTTCCTCTTGAATGCTCCCTGTCCCTGGGATTCCAATAATAATAACAAACAATAATGTAAATGGTATTGGGGAAGCTTCTCTGGTTCAGCCACAGGAAGTGCTCTGCTCTGAGGGTCAGATTAGTTAGGTGAGCAGTAAATAAACCACCACCACCGCCCCACACTAGTCAGAGCATTTTAGAAGAACTTACAGGGCATACTTTGAATGTGTTTTAATTTGTAAGTTAATTGGCCATCGCCCAATGTTCTTTAGCATTCGACAGAATCCTGCTTATCTCTGTGCTGATGGAAGTTCCCATCTAGAATATTTCTTTGTAAAAAAAAAAAAAATAGAATATTTCTTTGTGATCATGTAGCTGCAGAAAGTCTTTGCTCGTTAAGTTTATTCCTAATTCAAACGAGGACTTGGCTAAGTGAGACGGTGTCTGTTTTCAGTGTTTGCTCTCATTTTTTATTTCATGGCGTCCTGTTTTCTTCTTTTATGAATAAAAGAAAACTCTAGAGAGTCGTGGATTAATTTGTAAATTGCACATGGGGATTTGGCAGCTCAGAACCCCCAGGGAGGGATCTTGGATTTGGATTCAAGAGAAGCAGTTGCAAAAGCGTTTGAAATAAATGTCAGCAATTCCTGCTCCCTAGCCCTCTGACCTCACTGTGGGGTAATCCTCTGCAGGGGCCGTGTCCTGGGGGAGAGGGGAAAGGGCTACCCATGCCTCAGGTTGAGTTATGGAGGAGGCTCCACCTGAAATGAGTCAAAGGGAACAAGTGGTCCAACCCTGTGCTGTTTCACACACTTACTGGAAGAGCCAGAAGAAAACATGAGTAATCGAGGCTTTGTCGGAAAAGGAAAGAACAGCATCACTAGTGAAGAATCTGATAGTTACTGGAAAGAGGAGAGATGGGGTGGGAAGGGAGGGAGACTGAGAGCAGAGGGGCCCCTGAGGAGTGACAGCATGGTTTGCCAGCCCAAGTGCCCATCCTTGGAGGAGCAGGGTGGCTGCGGGGCTGGGCATGGGCGTGAGGAAACCTTGCAGGGGAGAAAGACTTGATTTCAACAGTCGGCCACACTCTTCCCGGAGCAGCGGACTCCCTCGTGTGTCTCCAGGCTGCAGCGGGTGAGAGCCTGGCCTGGGAGCCCGACCTGGTGGGCTGGTGATTCTCCTCTGCAGCTCCTAGAAGGAGCTCCTAAGGGTGCTCAGTGTTATAAAGTTTGAGTGGGAGATTTTCTGCTTCCAGTTCCCATCTTGGGTGAAAGGCAGAGCTACAGGTAGCCTTGAGTGCAGTCATAAGCCCTGGGGGAAATCAGCACAGCTCTGGGGACCCTCTATAGCTCCCCATCTTCACAGAAACGCCTTCTCCAACTCCCAGTGGTAAACAGAGCTCTAAGGACACAGATGGCCCAGACACAGATGCTCACAGGGGATGAGTGTGGGCAGGGGAGCCAACCTGCAGAGCCCTGGCTCAGCTCTCCCTCCCTCGGTGCCACCCAGGGAGTTGGGCCTTTAGGCCTGAGGACTTCAAAGGCACCCACCTACCCCCAAGGGCAGCCTCTGGTCAGTTCCCAGGAGTGCTTTTTGGGTCAGCTTCACCTGCCCAGCTCAGCAAACAGGCTCAGGAAGGCCTGGGGGGGGGGTGCCCTCCAACAACACCTGCCCCTTCTCCAAGGGGAACTTGGATCACCATTAGCAAATGAGAGCAAACAGCTGGGAGCCTGGGGGGAAGCAATTCAAGAGCAAATGAGGGTGGAAACAAAGAAGAGCAGGTAGGAAACGAAAAGAAAGCCGGGAGAGGCCGGCAGCAGGATGGAAAAACCCTAATTGGCAAGCGGAAGACTAATTCCTGGAAATCCCAGAGAAAAACCCCGAGGTGAAAATTATGCATGGAAAGATGAGAGGCCTAGGAAGGACGGGAGCTGTGTGACCCGGCGTGACGGGGCTGGGAGGAGCAGGAGATGGGCGACTGGAAAAGTACTGGTCAAGGAAACAGAAGGGCAGCCCACTGTCCTCACACAATGGGTAAAAAGGAGGAGGCGACCACTGTCCTCATTATTAGATGGGGACTTGGGCTCAGATCTGGGGAGAGTTCCTGGTGGCCCACAGTGTAGGAGGTAGCCTGGGAATGGAACTCAGAGGTGCCCGATTCCCGGTCATGCTCGTCCCATGAGTGGAGAAATGGCTCAACCAGACACCTCACTGGGCCAACAACAGACACCGTTAAATTAGAAGATACCAGGTGACGAGTCTAAGTGAAGACTGCTTCACCTTGTGACCTCCCGTGACTTTCACAATTAATTACAGCTGGGACGAGAGCCAGGCAGAAGAGAAACAGGGCTCCGAGGGGCGTGGCGGGAACCCACCCCGCCAGCTGGGACAGGGCAGAGGGGATCTTTGAGGGAGGAAGTGAGGGTGCAGGGCGGAGAGAGGGAGGAGGGTGAGCGGGATTTGTCTTGGGGGTGAGTACAGGGGACATGAGAGGGGTCCTGGGGCAGGCAGGAGGTGAAGCGCTTGGTGCCCAACCCGCCAACATTGTGAGAAATCTGGTGTGGTCCCTAAGAAAGCAAAATTACAGCCCTACGGAAAAACAGCAAGTTCAAAGCGTTCACAGACAGGAACCAGGTGTACAGCTGAGGAGGTGGAGACCCAGAGGCAGAGGGACAACTATTGGCATATATCTGCTTCTTCCAGTGTTTCATTAAAAAACAAAACAAAACCAGGAGGCATTTGGGTTTGCTTATTTAGTTTTCTAATGTAAAGAACAAAGGACTTCGGATCAGAACCAATCAGGTTGATTTTAGCTCATGCATGTCTTTTGCCCTTTAATTGAATCTGCAAAATGGGCTTAACACTCGTTTATTGTAAGGATTAGATGACAAAAGGTAGAACAAAGTGCTTTGTCAGTTGTAAAGTGATACGTTTACTTGTATTATCAGGGCCTATACACAAGGTGTCGTGTCGTGGGTTGTGCAATGAGCAAGGATTCCACGTTTGACGGGGGACCTTTAAGTCACATAAGAAACACAATCCTTGTGTATGCTTAGTACATCAGTCTTCCAGCAGAGGGCAGCAAAGGGCTTGGTTTCACGACTCCACCCTGACAGGTGTATTGGGGAAGGCGCATTTTCCAGTTTACACAGGTGCACTGTTATTGGCCCTGGTATTGGTTGGTATTCACACTTGATGAAGAAGAATGAATAATATTTCTATTTGTTAGTTATTTAAGTATAAACTGTGAGGCACAGAGGAGCAGGACATGAAGCAACAAGCAAGACTGCTTCACTCAGCGCCACCTCCAGTGACTTTCACAAGGTCCCCAGGAGGCAGGCAGCAAATTAATTACAGCTGGGACACAGGGCTCTGAGGGGCGTGGTGGGAACCCTCCCCGCCAGCTGGGACAGGGCAGATGGGATCTTTAAGGGAGGATGTGAGGGTAGGGCACAGAGAGGGAGGAGGGTGAGTGGGATTTGTCTTGGGGGTGAGTATGGGGACATGAGAGGGGTCCTGGGGCAGGCAGGAGGTGAAGAATTTGGTGTCCAACCCGTCAACATTGTGAGAAATCTGGTATGGTCCCTTGGAAAGGAAAATTACAGCCCTACGGAAAACGGCAAGCTCAAAGTGGTCACAGATAGAAAGTATTAGAGAAGCCATTTTCATAATTTATATATATGTGTATATATATATTTTGTATAGACTTATAGATCCTATGTAGAAAGGGCTCCCGTCCCCCATTTTTTTGGTACGGGGGATTGAACCTAGGGATACTTTACCACTGAAATACATCCTAAGTCCTTTTCATTTTGAAGCAGGATCTCCCTAAATTGCCAAGAGTTTCACTAAGTTGCTGAGGCTGGCCTCAAACTTGCAATCCTCCTGCCTCAGTCTCCCGAGCTGCTGCGATTACAATTGAGTGTCACTGCCACTGTGCCTGGTTCTAGAAAGGGCTTTTAAAGGAAGAAGGACATGGCATAAAGCAGTGGCTTCCAATGGGGGGCCGATTTTGGCTCCCCACCCCCACCCTCTCCACGAGGAAGTCAGGCAACATTTAGACTTTTTTTGTTTGTCAGGACAAGGAGCAGGTGCTTCTGGTGTCCAGCAGGTAGGGGCAGGGACATTGCTAGGCATTCCTTGATGCACAGGGCTGCCTTATTATGGACAGTTATCTGGCCCCATATGTCAGTGGCTGCCAAGGTTGAGAGACTATCATTGGCCATACTGTTAAAGATAAACCGATTGGCCTGTATACATTGGTAATAAAACGTCTCTACCACCAAAAGCTTCTCTAGTAAAAGACAAAAAGCAAGACAAATTATAATATCTGCTACAAAGGACTAATTTCTCTAGCTGATTAAAGCTTGAAATGAATAGTCCTATGTAAAAAAAAAATTAGTAACTGTAAACAGATGATGCTCAAAAGAAAAAACTCTGACAAATTTATTTATTTTTTTTAAAAAACAGGTCAATTAGTGAAGACAGGCTGGATAATGGCACAGTAATTCATAAGTCTCATAAATCTCAGTAATTTATTATAGAAATCAGAAAATGACAGCCTGGGGGCCATTCTGGCCTCCCACCAGTAAGTTTTCATTGGAAGCTGGCCACACCCATCTGCCTACACACACTCCACAAAGGCAGAGCTGAGCGTGTGTGATGAAGATGGCTTGGTCATTTGGCCCTACTGGGAAAAAAGTTTGCCACCTGCTGTTTTTCAGCAGCAAAGCTTTCCTTCTCTCTTGCACTCCCTGATCATCACAGATGAGAGGGAGCTCAGCCCTGCGTCATGGACGCTCCAGGCTCCTGGCCACAGAGCAACCTCTCTGTCCAAAGATGGCTGTTCTCCGGTGGAGAGAAAGAGGCAGGCAGCTCTCAAAGTGGAAGTGACCCTCTCACTTTGGTCTGCGTATCACTGGCCAAGTCAGGGCCTGGACATCCGGAGTTCACAGGCTGGGTGTCTCACTTCTAGAGGCTGCTGGGGCTTGGGAACACCGTGGACCCCAGTATCTATGGCACATTTAGCCACTGGCACAGCAGGAGGAAACTCAGGAACAGCCAGTGGGTTATTGTTCTGTGCTTTCATGTTTGGAAAAAATAAAAGTCTTATTATTTGTAAAGGTGCAGGGTCAAGGGTATCTCCATGAGGTCAACGGAAGTGTGAACAATTTGGGTCACTGGATGATCAACATGTGTTAATTTAGAATATGCAGACTTGTTGACTAAGTGATTTCGCTTCTAGAAGTGAACCATTAGGAAATCATCCTGTGAACGTAGCCATCCCGAGGCGGGTGGCCCTCCAACAGTGGTGGGTGGGAATCAGAAAGGAGTTTCTCACACTGCGTGGGGTACTGGTGACCCCACCAATCAAAACGAGATCAGTGGGCTACGGGTCGGCTGCAAAGCTGAGGTGAGGGGCACCAGACGACACACGTAGACACATGTACCGGTCCCGACAACCGCTCACGCCAACATCCTTGCCGTCCTTTCCTTGTGGTCCTCTCCCCTGACCTGCCCTCCCCCTCCTTCCCTCCGGGTACCTGCTCCAGGACAGCCATTCCTTCCCCAGACTTACGGTCCTGTCTGGATGCCCAGGCACGTGTGATCCTAGCCTTCTGGGCCCTTGTCACTACCCTCGAGCTGCAGGTTGAGTGATCCTTCCTTGGAGTCTCCTGATCCTGCTTTGGGAGCTTCTCTTCATTTCTGTGCCCAGGTGAGGCTGCCTCTGGACCAAGTGGTGATTTGTGATTAGGGCCCACAGAGAGCTGCCCCTTCCCCTCCCTAGTGACCTGCCTTCCTGCCCTTCTCCTGCTGCCCCGGGGTTCCTAGGTTAAGTCTCAAAGTGCCAGGAAAACTGGAAATTCACAAGTACCGAGAGACGACGTCCAGAACGTGGAGACATCTGTACGCTATAAAAATCAAAGACTGTAGCTTCTCTGTCCTCTGGAAATACCACCAGGTTAGGGTGAGGACCAGGATCCTGTCCATCTTATCTCAAAGTAGCAAAGTTTTTGTTTTTGGTACCAGGGATTGAACTCGGGGTTATCTACCACGAGCCACATCCCCAGCCCTTTTTTATTTTGAGATAGGATCTAGGGCCTTCAACTTGCAATCCTCCTACCTCAGCCTCCTGAGTCTCTGGGATTACAGGTGTACGCCACCATGCCTGGCTTTTTAATTTTTTAATTCTCCCTTTAGTCGGTAAAAGGATGGCGGTCCCCCTCATGTACATAAACTAAAACCCACCCCCTTCCATTCTTTGACTGGGGGATGTGATCTGTCACCTGAACTGAAAGCCTCTTGCTCATCCCCAGTCCACTTTGTACACAGCAGCAAACTCGCTCTTGTGAAATTTAAAATCAGGTCAGGTCCCTTGACTGCTGAGAGCTCTTCAATGGCCCGCCCTTGCTTTTGGAATACGATTCAACCCCCTTTCCCAGCTACAGACCTGAACAGCTCCCCGCGGGTCCCGCCTCCTCTCATTATTACCTCTCGGGCAGCTTTTTTTCTGACGTCTCCTTTTTGGAGTTGACCAGATATTTCTTCTTATTTTTCTTCCTAAAAAGAAAGGATAAAGAATCTTTTATGGTTATACATACAGATCTGCCAGCCTTACATGTCAGCGACACTCAGTTTTTACTACTGGTCTTGACACCACAGTGGCCAGGGGGTCATTGGTGGCCTTAGGGGATACTGCTTAATGGAGAAGTGGGGTTAGAAGAGGCTCTCAAGAGAGGAAAGAGAGAAGAGAAAGGAAACGGAGACGAGAGGCTGAGGCAAGACATTTCTAGAAATGAAGGGGAAGCTGTGGAGGCAGCTGAAGCTCCCGTGATGAGCCGCGAACACTGGCCGCAGACGGCCCTGGAGTGAGAGATCTGAACACCCACAGAGCAAGGGACAGCGGATACTGTGAGGAGGGGAGGACTGGGGGGCAGAGGGTGGCCGTCAGGGCTGGCGGCGGGGAGTGAGGGGATCTCCTCTGCTACTGTAACGGGGAGTGTCACGTGAGAAGCTGCAAAAGACAGCGCAGGGCTTGAAAGGACAGTGGCAGGAAGAGGACCTGCCCGCAGAGTGAGGTCATTTACACAGGAAGACGCAGCAGGGGCACTTGTCCAGGCCTGTGACTGTCCAGCAGCGCCCTCTCTCAGATGCCGTGTGCAGAAGCAGATAAGAAAGTTCCTTGGAGACTGGCCGGGGACAAGACAGAGAGGCAGGGCAGGTTAGGAAGATGGCAACCGGCTATGAGATGGTGGATCTCGGACTCCAAACCGGTGAGGGGGTGAGGAAAGGCCAGTGGACAGGTCATTCAAAAGCACTGAAGGACAGCTGCAGAGGGGACACATTGTGAGGAAGAAAACAGAGAGGGACGTTGTTAAATTTATTATTATTCTAGTACTGGGCTGAGAAGGAGAGATCAGAAGTTGAAGGACAGTTGTAGAAAACTTGAAGAACAGGTATCAGAAGAGGAATGCTTAATTACTGGGAAATCGGGCTGTTTGGGTGATGGTAAGGCCTATGGATTGCTCTGGGCACAGGCAGCCAAGAATTTGTGGAGGAAAAAGTCATTGGAAATGAGCAGATGACGGGCCGAGAGGCCAGAGTACTGGATGGCCCATCCACTGTCCTCATGGGTCCTGCAGGCATCCAGGACTAAGGTGGGACCTGAGGTGACAGAAACACAGCCTCAGGCCAACTAAGGAGGGACAGGAGGCCAACAGATGAGAGGGCTGGAGAGAAGGGTGTTTTAATTGAATGGCTGAACCTCAGAGGAGAGGATGGGGAGCAAGAGACTGGATGGGGTCGAGGGTGGCAAGGTGTGGACCACAGGTGTGGGTGACGGATGGCAGAGAATGGCTGGCTGTGTCTTGCGAGGAAGCAGTTCTGTTCAGGAGAAGCAACCTTCAGCTCAAGAAATTGGTGTGACTAACACGCTAAGAAACTGTGGATACGGGCCTCGGAGGGCTTCAGAACAGGCGATTCTGACAGTTGCTTATTTCCACGTGTCTAAATGCCTTCTGGTTTGTCACAGTTTCTATAAAGGCCTTTGAGGAAGGTGGAGTCTTGGCCATCAGGACTAGGGACACATAGTGGTTGCTTTTGACAAGATGTGATCAGAACCACAGAGAGCAACTCCAAAATCACTCTCTTGACATCTAAAGAGAAAGGAAATCCTTACCTTTCTTCTTTGGAGGTGTGCTAGGTGCCTCGTGGGGCTCCTCTGGGTCATTTGACTCTGGAGAATTCTCTGTCACCACTGACAAAAGACACAAAATTCCTCTCAGAGCTCAGAAGAGGCTGAAGAGAAAGTGCCCAGGGGAGTCAAAGGGAGACTCCGTAAAGGGAGAGAGCGCATGTCCTGCAGACCTTGGAATCTGCAGGCCGGAGGGTTCTTCCTTGACTGTGCCAAGTTGTGGTTACTGTCGGACCCACTTACAGACAATCCTTCTCTGGGAGGAAGAGAAGGACAAGGCTCAGCAGCCCTTGCTCAGGGAACTCAGCTGAGAGTGAAGGGAATGGGTGACCTTGAATTCTGAGGGCCACAGGAACATATTATTGCTTAGGTGTCAGCATATGGATATTCACTCACTGCTCTACCTGTGACCATTTCACCTTGAGAAACAGTGAAGGAGGCTGAGGGCTCAGGGCACAGTTGGAGAGGAGGATTGTTGAAAAAGGTAGGGGCGGGCCGTACTTCTAGCACCTACTCACAGCAAATATGAACCGAGTTCTGCTAGTTTTGCTGAGGACTTGAAATAGAATAAATAAAGGTCCATCCCACGTAGGGATGCCCCTTTCTTCTTTTCTACACAATTCTAGGAGATCTGTCTCCAATTCTGCCTATATAGCAGCAGGTGACTGTGTTGATAAGCAACCGCTGAACTTTTGAGACAATTTACTACTTTTCACATTGCTTTAGTAATATCTGCTTTCAAAAATCCAAATGATACAAAAATGACTAGGGTTGAGGGTGGGAGTTCCCCACAGTCAGCGTGAGTGAGGGCAAGGCGGGTCCATCTGTATTGCCCTTCCACTCAGCATTCAGGCTACCCGGTGTTTCTCTGCTTGCTTTGCATCTCGGCAGGGCAGTTTGAGCATTCCCTAATAAAAGTGGCTCTGCCTCCGTTCTTGTGGCCTTCTCCCCTGCGGTTCCCGCTACAATCCCTTGTGGCAGAGGAATGCTCTCCCTTTGCAGATGCCATATAGTACTTGGAGTCCAAGTTTAGCAGGTATACTGGGGCTTCTGACCTCTATGACTGGTGCCTACCTCTTCCAGACCTGCCTCCAGGCCCTTCCCTGGGACTCTGCCTCCATTCGGGAGCTCCGGTCTCCTGCCTGTCCTAAGCACTGGGTGAGCGGCTGGAATGGGGCCAAGATGGCGGCTCAGAGAATGGACAGCCCCATTCCAAGAAGATGCAAATGGCTCTCCTTCTTGGTACACACAAAAAGGTCCAAATGAGAATAACCTGGAATAGGGCCTGAGGGGGTATGGTCTTCCTTATCTTTTGTTTGAGGGTCTGGTTGTCACTGGAGGACAGTGACCAGAGAGAAATAAAAAATTCTAGATTCCAGGACCAGAAAGTGGGGACCAGAGTGAGGAGGTGGAAAGTAATTGATTCCAACTAGTAAAAATAATGGTGACCAAGCACCAATGCCCAGGCAAGGGTGGGACAGAGTGAGGAAGTGAACAATGATTCACTCTCAATCAGATGCTTATTAGTGTAATAACAGTATTTTTTCTTTTGAAAATCTTGGAGATGGAATCATCCATTGTTGTGAGCTTCCTGATTATTATGTCAACCTTATCGGGATGGTGCACAGGAAGCAGGATTTGGATCAAATAGGACCCCTTATTATACTGGTACCAGAGAGCTCAGAATCCACAATATCATTTTTGACAATAACATAATTAATAATAGTACTAGACCACGGTAATATTTAATGTAACCAAATCCATTATAAAAATGGCTTGGGGAGAACAAGTGACAAAAGTTGAGAAGCTAACTTGGGTCCAACTTATTTTATGATATTTTCTAATAATAATTTCCATAGCATTGTTCTTATAATCCAATCCAAAGAAGAATGGATAAGGCTGACACACAAAGGCAGGTCTGCATACTCGGTGGGGTGAGGGTCCAGGTAAGCACTTCCTACATGGGTGTTGTGCAAGGTGCACGTCAATTCAGAAGAGATTTGATTGTTGTTTGGCTTTGCACTGAAGTTGGTGAACCACCCACCCCTTGTCATCCCCAGCTCTTTTGTCCAAGGTTCCTGCCATGGCCTCTCAGTTGACAGGTGCCCGCTCTCCCTTCTCAGCCCCCTGGAGCTAAGCCAAGTCAGCCCCGATCAATGTTACCTTGCCCAGCGCCAGGGGGAGTGCTGGGCATCTCTTGTGAGTCTTCTTCCTCAGTTATTTCAGGTGTTAAGTTGTCACTGGCCGCTGAAGGAGGAATGAAAATCATAGGTTACAGGGACTAGGTGTCAGGGAGGACACTGAATGACCAAAATGCCCAGGGTAGATGGAGCACCAAGGTTCAGGGGCTTTGGAAAGTTGGGATGTCCAGGAATGGGAAGCAGGTGTTCTGGGCTCCAGGTCTCATCGTGCCCCCTGGCAGAGCTTGGGATCCTTTTTGGAAAGGTCTGTGTGGGCAGAGGGGTGCGTGGAAAGGACCAGATGATCTATAAGGGCAGGACCCTGGGTTCTAGGCCCCACGGCATGTGTGGGCTAGGCTGGGGATACAAGGGTGCTGGGCAGGGTCTGCTTCTCACCTGGAGTGCTTCTTCCTTCCTGGATTAGGTCAGGGGGAGGCGTGGCAGGGTCAGAGGTGCTGGGCAGTTCATCCAGGGTCACGTGGATTTGCTGCAAGGCTGCTCTGGGCTCACTGACTCTGGGCGCACAGGACAGATGACTCAGTGAGGGAGGGTGAGGTGGGATCAGCGGCAGCAGCGTGTACCTTTCTGCTGGGGCTTTGAGTGGCAGGGCTGTGGTTCTGCTCCTCTCTCCATAGGAAGCACCCACTGGGAGTGATGAAGGAGAACACATCAGGACCCAGAGTATCTAGGGAATGGGATTTCTTTCTTTTTTCTTGGTGTTGAGGATTGAACCTGAGGCCTCGAGCATTTGGGGCAAGTGGTTCTACTGTGGAGCTTCAGCCCCAGCCCAGGATATTTCTTAATATACGATCTCCAAGAGGACGGGGACATGGAGTGATTCATTCCCTGCAAGGACTTAGAACGAATTTGTGGTCATATCTGTCCATTTGTGCTCCTTTCTATTTATTGATGTGGGCATTCCGTTTTATAATCACTGCATCTAACCCCTGATCTGCCCCCAAAATGGTTTCACATGTAAAGTTGAGTTTGACTTTTTACTCAGGGATTTAACTTTCTTTAATTTTGGTTTTGTAGAATTTAGTCAATGATATACATGCTATAATTTTAACAGAGGTCTCTGTTTTAATAAACATACTTCCCTAGAGCAAATTAAGATACAATGAAAATTCCTTAGCAAGGTGGATCAGAATATTTATATTCTGGTTTCTGCTCATTTCTGCAGATTTGGCACCTGACCACGTGGCCACACCAAATTTTCCCTCCTGACCCCACCAGCCCAGGCCCTCGGCATCCCCCACGCTGTTCCTCTGAATGGCTTGTGATGGGTTTTTGTTACAATCTTCTCCATTATTTATTTCAGAAGCAAAAGGATCTCAACCAGTGGACAGAAAAAGGAATACATTTTCAAAAGGGACCCAGAACAAAACCAGAGAGGAGCAGATGCAAGAGGATGTGGGATCCCAGCCCAGGCATGTGGCTCTCGGGCTCTCAGAGGGGCCAGGAGGAGGGCCCGGGCACAGCTGCACCTGCCTGGAGGACTCTCCCTTTGCTGCCCCCTTAGCTCAAGGCATCCTGTGTCTTTAGGGAGGACTCCCTTGCTGTGAAATGTCAGGGAGCAGAGGAGTTGTCCACAGCAGGGACTCCACTGAAGGCGATGTCACCATCGAGTGTGACCTGGAGGTCCTTCCCTTGCCAGAACCACACACTTTGGCCAAAACATTTTCCTCCAGCGGACAGTGCTTTTACTACCTGGCCCTCTCGTTCTTGCTTTTTTTTGTCCCTGCTCCTTTTTCTTTCCCCTCTGTTTACCCAGTTGCTATGGTTTGGATGTTAAAGGTCTCTCCAAAGCCCAGGTGTTGAGGATTTGGTCCCCAGCGCTGGGCTTAGGAGGTGGGGCCGAGTGGGAAGTCACTGGGGGTGTGACTCTGGTCTCTCCTCTTTTCCCTTTCTGGCCTTGAGGTGAGTGGCTTTGTCCTGCCGCACACTCAGTACGCTGTGCTGCCTTGCCACAGTCCCAAAGCCACAGGGACTTGATCATGGGCTGGACCCTCCGAAACGGTGAGCAAAATCAACCTTCTCTCTTTATAACTTAATTCCCTCAGGTATTTTTTATCGTGATGGGGAGGTGCCCACCACACAGCTCTCCCTCTCCTCAGTGTACTTCATGCTGCAGTCTTCCTCAGACTCTTCGTGATCCTTCTCTTCCTCTCCAGGTACCCTTCTTCCTCTCAGCTTTACAATATGCCTTCCTGCCGCCTTGTTCAAATAGTGGTTATGATCTTGAGCCCTGTATCAGGAAACCCACACTTCTGGCTCTGTTTCTAAACAGAAAGTTGACTCTGAGCTTTGTTTCCTTGTGTGTCAAGAGCAGCTAATAAGGACCTCACAGGGTTTTAACGATTACATGAGGGGCTGGGGGTGTGGCTCAGCGGTAGAGCGCTCTCCTCGCACGTGCGAGACCCTGGGTTCGATCCTCGGCCACATACAAAAATAAACAAGTGAAATAAAGGTGTTGTGTCCAACTAAAACTAAAAAATAAATATTTTTAAAAAAAGATTGCATGAGAGAGTCATATAAAGTAGGTGGGATACCGCACTAACAAAGAGAGAGACTTCGGATTTTCCATCCCTATCCCTTTCTCTTTCCACCTGACTCTCCTTATCTTTCTGTTGGACCTGGTCTCTCTGGCTTTGCATTTCCGTCACCTTAGCATTCCTTAGAGACTGTCCAGGGATACTGGGCAATCCCCCAAATGCACAGGACAGGTTAGGCAGAATGGTCTCTCTCCTCTAGAAATTCATCTTAGAGAGTTGGGGACAGAGGCAAGAAGAGCTGCCCTCCAGCCACGCCAAAGGGAAGCCGGGGTTGACATGGAAACAAACCTGAACTTTCAGCATAGCAACCCCTCAAGTGCAAGAAGTATTCAAGCAATCACATTACCGCTTCTGAAGCTTCCGAAAATCTCCGTCAGATTGGGGTATTCCCGCAGGTTAATTTGGCTGAACAATGTCAGCAGAAGTGAAAGGTTAAATGTCTTCTCCAGTTGGGTGAGAGTGTTGTACACCACTCTGGACACAGGGACCAAATTTGTACAGGCTTCCAGCGATTCCTTTAAAAAATGGAGGGAAGGATTAGTATGGAGGATTCAGAACGTTTGTGGTTTTCTAAGTTACAGGAAAGCAAGTCTACTCTTTTAAGGAGACATGTGATATAAACTATAGACCCGATCCTCTCTGGTAAAGAGGTCGCAGCTCCACATGTTCACTTCATATATGCTTGGGTGCCTAGTTGTAGGAATAGATAATTTATGCAGCCTTCTTGAAAATAATTCAGTCTTCTTGTAAACTCCACTTTCAGGAACATTGGATGGAAGAGAGAGTTTTAAGGAAGGAAAGTGGAGCCAAAGGGTGCCACTGTGCAATTGATCCTTCAGGGTGCAGGGCGGGGCGAGTGGGGGAGGAGACCCCTCTGAGGAGTGCTGTCTGGCTGTGATCTGAGGGAGAGCTGGAGCCACCCAGGCCGAGCCGGGGACAAGACTGTTCCAGCATGGCTGGCACTTTCCTGGGCCTGGAGCCACTTTTGTCCACATGGCCCTATGTGGACAGCCCTGCCTTATATCAGCAGGGACTGTGAGCAATACCTGAGGATGCAGTGGGTCGAATGGCACTCCCCCGACCCCGAGAGAGATGCCTATCCGGAGCCGTGGATGTGAATGAATGTGAACTTGTTTGGAAAGGGGGGCTTTGCAGGTTGTAATTAGGCTACAGATCTTGAGATGAGATCATTCTAGATTAGGGTGGGCTCCAGATGCCCTAAATGCAAGTACCTTTAGAAGAAAGGAAAAGCGAGGAAACACAGAAGAGAGAAGGTGATGCAGAGATGGGAACAGATCGGAGCGATGCGTCCCCAAGGCAGGGAATACTGGGAAGTGCCAGCAACCAGCCGTCAGAAGCTAAAACAGAGGCAGGCAGCAGGTTCTTCCAGAGGCTCTGGAAGGAACAACCTTGTAGCACCTTCATTCTGGCCTTATGGCCCCAGGAACTGTGACAGAATGAATTTCTGTGGTTTCAAGCCACCTGGTCTGTGGTGATTCACCATGGTGGTCCCCATGGCACTGTCAAAGGAAGGCAGCCCCTAGGACACCCTGTCTTCCAACCGCCCATCCTGCGATCATGTACGACGTGTTTGCTGGGCCTCCCACACCCCAGAGGCCCTGGTGGTTGGTGGTGTGAGATCTGTTACAGGGCACACTGGGTAGGGACTGGGCTGCCAAGGGGAGGGTCCACACCACTCACCCTGTACATTTTCTCAGTGATGAAGGACTTGTCTCGGAGGCCTTCAAAGAAGGGAAATGGCTTTTGTATGGCATAGGAAATCTCCAGTTTCCGGCATATGAAATGCTGAAGAAGAGCCTTTTCCATGGCCCCGCTCACAGTGATCATCCTATGGAGAGAGGCAGAATGAGAAAACAGGGGAAAACCTCCCAGGTGTGCGGGGAGCTGCTCTCTGCATGAAAGAGGCACACAAGACAGACATCCAGGTCCCCAAGGCATCCCTTAGCAGTCCACAAGCAATGTCTGCTTAAAAGACTCAAAGACATAGGGAGGAGAAGGCAGGGCCCAGCAACAATAAAGGCTGAGAGGCTCTGGCCCGATGATGCCCAGATCCCCAAGGGGCCTCCCGTGAACTTGAGGTGGATATTAAAAACTGCTGGTGTGACTGAGTGTTTCCTGCACACCACTCTGTTGTAAGGGTTTCATACACAGTAGCTTATTGGATCTTCACAAACCCCTGCAAGCTGACTGCTCTGATTCCATCCACTTAGCTGTTGAGCACAATGACACAGAAATTCATGAACCTTGCCCTGGGTTGTGTAGCTTGGCAGGGGAAGAACTGAGAACAATCCCAGCTTGCTGGCTGCAGGCTTCTGAGTTGTAGGTCTATACTCACAGCCACACGGAGCTGGGTTAAACTGGATGGCCTGGGCTGCAGCCTGAGCTGTCAACCAGCCAAGCTCAGGGAACAGGGACCACTTGGAAATGGGTAGATGGAAACCTGATAGTATTTACGAATTCTAATAAGCAGCTCCCAACGTTTTGACATAAGCAGATGAAAAAATAAATAAAACCATGAAGGATTGTGAAAGTCTGATCAGCCAGGGTGACCTCAGTGGTTTATTTCACCTGACCACTCGCGTCTTACAACAGACACACCTGCCTTGTGCCGTGCCTACGTGACAAGTACAAAACTGACTGTTTATGAATCATGGAAAATACAAATTGTAACAGGCAGAAAATCTGCAGATGACCTTGACAACAGGGAGGCACTAACAAAGACACAGTCACCTGGAGATTTTTAAAAGACAAGGCAACATGGCACTACTTTCTCCAGCTTCATTTGTGACAGTGGCACATTCAGTGCTTCTACTCCCATTGAAATTTGGCCAAAAAAAAAATGATAAAAAAGAATAATCCGGGGCTAGGGTTGTAGCTCAGTGGTCGAGCACTTGCCTTGCATGCATGAGGCACTGGGTTCCATCCTCAGCACCATATACAAATAAATAAATACATAAAACAAAAATATTAATAATAATAATAATAATCCACAACAGCAGTGGTAAAGGAGAACAGATGCGGGCTTCATGAAGAAATCCTAGAAGATAGAGAACGGTGTGCACAGGGAGGAGAGAGTGTAAGGGTGAGTCCAGAGTCAATGGGAGCCAGAAGGAGTACTTGACAGGCAGCCGGAGGCCACCCCCACACCAACCATGGGCTTCACTTAGGACCCTTCATCATACAACAGCATTCCAAATAGGACCTCACCAAACTCCTCCTTCCTCATCCTGAAAGATGAGAATGAGGCAGGTTAAGTAACCAGCCCAAGGCATCCAGGGGCAAAGCAGGGTTTATCTGACTCTTTATTTCCTGTTTCCTCACTATGAAAGATGCCACATCTCTGGGCTGGGGATGTGGCTCAAGCGATAGCGCGCTCGCCTGGCATGCCTGCGGCCCGGGTTCGATCCTCAGCACCACATACAGACAAAGATGTTGTGTCTGCCAAAAACTGAAAAATAAATATTGAAATTCTCTCTCTCCTCTCTCTCTCTCTTAAAAAAAAAAAAAAGATGCCACATCTCATAGATGACTATGTTCAGATTTTTATTATGTAAAAGGACTTTGCAAATAAATAAGCAAAATACAAACGTCTAAGTGAAAAAAAAAAAAAAACATGAGCAGGCAACTAAGAGAAGAGTAAGCCACATGTGCAACGATCTGTGAAAAGCTTAACTTGCTAGTCATTAGAAACATGCACAGAAAGACAATGTGACTGCACATCTGCCTGTCTTGGCCAAGACAGAAAATAACAGCAACAATCCCAGACACTGGATGGAAATGCAAACAGGCTGAGATCCTCCAAGTGGCTAATTTAGCAACCAGCATCAAATGTCCTAAAATGTGTATTCCTTCAAATTTCCACCTCCAGAAATTTCTGGGGATTGAACTCAGGGGCACTCGACCACTGAGCCACATCTCCAGCCCTATTTTGTATTTTATTTAGAGACAGGGTCTCACTGAGTTGCTTAGTGCCTCGCAGTTGCTGAGGCTGGCTTTGAACTCATGAGCCTCCTGTCTCAGCCTCCCAACCTCTGGGATTACAGGTGTGTGCCACCAGCCAGGCTTGGAAATTTATTTCAAGGAAACAATGATGAACATGCTTAAAGAAACTAGATAAAAAGTTCATGACATGCTAGAGAGGAAATTAAAAGGACTCTCCTTATTTTCTCTTTTCCACCAGTCTCTCTGCTGGTGGCTTGTGGAGTGGATAACGCAGGTAGGCGCAGGGTCGGGTTGGGGAGATGGCGAATCTCGGCTGCACCCTCTGCAACAGGCTGGCCCTCAGGGAAGGGAGCTGGGCCGTGGGTCAGCTGCGCTGCACGTCCGCGTCTTACCAATCCCCTGAGAAGCCCGCGTGCCTTCTCCACCTCTGGAAAACACTCCTTTACAAAAAAGAGCCTTAGATTTTAAATCCTCGAGCTCCACCCTGGGGTGGCTGCCAGTTATAAAAGCCCGTCCACCGAGACTGAAGGGCAGCGCGGACAGACAGGCAGACACTTACCTGGGGGCTGGCTCCCCTTCCAGGTCTAGGGGCTGGGCCAGCGATCGCCCCGGGAAGCCTGGGAGGACCGCAGGGACACCGGGGCCAGGCGGAGAAACAGGAAGTGCCTGTGCCGGGCCTGGTGGCGCAGGAAAGGAAAGTGAAAGTGACGAGCACATCAGGCAGGAAGCGGAGGCCGCTGCCCGCAGCCTCCCTCACCTCCGGCTCGGACGCCCCCAGGGGGTGGGGAGGAGCCGCTGTCTCCCAGCCCCAAGTGGGAGACCGGGGAGGAGGCAGGCCCAGGGGACCAGACCTGGGCCAGGGAACTGGGAATCCACTGCTGTCCCCTTCGCTACGCACTTCCATTTCCCCGGAATGAATGACTCCTCCTCATTCTGTACTTTCTTGGGTGATGAAATGTTCTAAACTGAATAAATTTACTAGACACCATCAAAACCACATCAACAGCTAAGGAAGATGTGCCAGAGATGCCTAGAGTTTATCAGGATAAGACGATTATATGAGAAAATTGCAAATAAAGGGACCTGAACACCAGCTGGGATCATGCAGAGGCTGAGCCAAGCCAGGAGAGGACTCCAGATCAGTGAGGCAAGGAGAGAGCACAGGCGCCCTCTTCAGCACACCCCTTTTAAAGATTCTTAGTGTTCATGGGCGTGGAGATCTGTGAGAAATTTAGCCATTTGCTTGACTCTATTTAAGTCATTAATTTTAAATGTAGTTGACCCAGGAGTCCCCCATTCCAGGAAACCTATGAAGCCCTCAGGAAAAAAGATGCGAAATATGATTCTGGGGTCTATGGACACTTGAAACAAGGAGACCTGCAGGAGAGAGAGCCCGCCATGCTTCCCGAGGAGGTGTGACCACGATCTGCCCGCCAGGGAGGGACAGAGCAACAGGCCCAGTGCAGTCCATTCCAGCAGTGGGGACAACGGTGGAAGCCACAGCAAGCCCAGGGTAGCACGAAAGGATGTCTAAGTGCTGCGGGTGCAGGGGATCCGTGGCGATAGGTAGCGACTGTCTATGTCAGGGTCACACTGCATTTCCTACGCCCCCCCCCCCCCCACTTCACCTGGAAAACCTTTCATGGAGGGAGAGGTCAGCAGCAAGAACTTCCCCCAGACTCGCTCAGAGATGCACCAGAGATGCAAAAGCACGGGTGAAGGAAAGGGGGGGAAAGAATGTCAAAATGTCAGATCAGGCAAAGGTTATTATATGAGAAAGAGTGAATAAGGATAAAAGATGTTTATTCTAAGCAACACATGCTCAAGAACACAGTAAGAAGGGGAAAACCTTGCCTGTTAATTTCAATGCAAGTGACCTCTGTAGTGAGGGCTTATTATGAATATTCTTTATTCTGGTGTGGGGTTCCAGGGATTGAACTCAGGGGTCTCCATCACTGAGCCATATCCCCAGCCCTAATTTGTATTTTATTTAGAGATAGAGTCTCACTGAGTTGCTCAGCACTTTGCTTTTTGCTGAGGCTGGCTTTGAACTCGTGATCCTCCTGCCTCAGCCTCCTGAGCCCCTGGGATTACAGATGTGCTTCACTGTGCGTATAATTCTTCTTAGCTCAATTTTATGGGTATATAAAATGGATCCAACTTAAGTGAACATTGTGATGAATTTTAGCAAATATCGGCACCACCACAATGAAGATGCAGTCCATCTTCAACACACCAGAGTGCTCTCCTGTATCCTTTGCAGAAAATTCCCTCCTCAACCCCAGCAATGGGCAACGGTAGACCATCTGTGACTGCAGATTAGTTCCATCTGTACTAAATTTTACAAAAATGGAAACCTAGGGTGTGCACTTTCTGGTATGTGGCTTTTCTGGCTCATCATAATACTTTTGAGACTCCTTCCTGCTCTCTAGCTGATGTGCTGGCCACCTCTCGCTCATCCTGTCTGGTTAGTATGATGTCACCAATGTGATCCATCAGTGGCACGTTCTATGGATGTCAGGTGTTCCAGACCTTTTTGAATCTATTATGACAAAAGACAGGTGAGCTAATTGAACCCCAAAACAAAATCATAATTAATATTCTTATGTATTGAATATAAAAGCAAACCGTTTGGGATCCTTCTTTCTAATCCAAAAGGAAAGAGAACATTACTGAATCAACAGCCCCACACTGTGCACCTGTGAAAAGAGATGGCTGGGGATCTTCCTGAACTGCCTATCTTCTTGGCCTGCTCCTCCAGTGGCTTATAAATTCTGTGAGTGACCCAATATGCTTCTTTTTTTTTTTTCAGAGTAGAAATTAGAAGTTTATTAAAGGACAGCAGAAAAGACTTCTCCCGGAGGAAGAAGGGGACCCAAGAGGTGGAATCCGTGGAAGGGATGTTGTCTCCCCTTTTTATAGTTCTTTCAGTGATGGAATGTAGGTGGGAAGGCCCAAGGGGTGGGACACAGGTGGGCCAAAGAAGTAATCTGGTCAGGAAGGACTTCTGAGTCAGCACCTTTTTGCTGGGGGCTATTCATTAACATTTCTTTGAGGTGGACTTTGGCCTAGGGCCTTTTCGGGACTTCATTAACATTCCATGAGTTGTCCTGCGTTTCCCGGAATCATTGCCAGCATGGCCTCCATTTTAGATTTCACTCGGCATTAGACCCGATTTATCTAACTACACTGACTACCTAACTTTAAATCTGGCTTCATTCCCCCCTCTAATTTGGGAACTCCTTACTGCTGTAAGGAAGGGGGGTGAAGAAGATCTTTCTGGCTTCTTCAGGCTGAAAAGGGACGATGTGGGGCAAGCAGTTTGGAGTCCCCCTTTAAAAATCAGGTCTATCGAGTGGTCCATGATAGAAGTCTGATTGAGAAGTAATAGTCTGGAGGGCCATTTGAGTGATGGATGGTCTATAAGAGAAACAAGAATTCATTAGTACTGGAACCATATTGATGCAGCAATAAATGCCATAGCACAGGAATATGCCAATGAGTATGATGGCAAAGACAAAGACTAACAATGTTTTCCACCAGGAAGTACCAAGAACCAGGAGCTAAGATATTGTTTCCATGACAAAGTTGCTGAGGACATGGCTTCTATCTGAGCATGTAAATCTTTAAGGATATTTGTCACATTGCGAGAAATGTCAGGGATGTAAACACAACATTTAACTTTTAGGGTTACAGATGTCCTTTTCCTTAAGATACAGTTTAATAATTTAATGTCATCTGATCTTGAAAAATCCTTTTACTAGTATGACCTCTGTGTCTAATAGAGAAATCTTTAATTCTGTTACTTAGGTCTGGATAACCATACTTGCAAACACTAAGCCTACCTGTGTAGGTTAGAAATAAAGGCC